TAAATCGAGAGTGTGGCCAAATTATATCATAACAACTATTCGGTAAATGTAGTTATTTAAGAGGCGTTACATACGTTTATATGTATACGAATATGTGAGAAGATTAGTCAAAGTTGTCATGCAGTTGTAGGGTCAAAGAGGCTAAAGACAGGATATAGGCTCCTGCGATGCTGGAGACAGTCACGTGACCTTCACGTGTTCCAACACCGATCGGTCGTTGTCCGGATCGCTCCCAAATCTCAGCTGGTCCCAAGTCTTCAGATTCTACACGACTCCTCCCGACATTTACCAAATTACCCCCAAACAGAACATTCTCGATCCTCTTGCATTATATGCTAACTAGCGGGGTTTTGATATACATTATTAGAAGCGAATATAGTTTTGCTAAGACAGTACAAGCCATAATGCTGTTTTTACATGTTTTAATTGTTTTTATGTCACTAATATGAACAATTATCGGTATACTACGGCCAAAAAAAACTCGCAACAATAAATAAATAATAAAAAACCTTTGTACACACACTCTGAAGTCAAATGGAATTATAAAACCTTTAAAACATTTACTTAAAACCAGATCCGACATGTGTGGAAGGAATCAATAAACAAGCAAGAAGATTAGTACTGATTTAATTTCTCTTGGTTTAGATAATATCCATAGTGGATGACGTAAGTTAATACAAAGTGCGTGGATTAGGAAATGGAAAAGGAGTTTTAGAGGGTACGACCAATAAAATCGTTGAAGGGGCATATGCCTCTTGGACTTTCCTACAAGGAAGGATCGTTTTATCTATAAAAACACTGGATTTTGCCTGTTCATTAGTTGCAAAAACAACACTACTGACATGGCTCTTGTCTTTTAAAATCATCTCACGTCATCTCTTACAAAAATATTAAATTCCTTACTAAAAATTATGTAAACACAACAAAGTAGCTTTTATTATTAAAAAAGATCACTTATCTCTCGCTCTTAGGGCCGTTTTCAATTTTGATCATATGTGAGAGTAGTAATTCACATTTTTTATCTTTGTAATAATCTATACAAAAAACAATTGTTTATATTTCGTTTTGATAAGTGATAACATCTTGAGAAACATTTTTCTCATATATAATTATTGACAGAATGGATAAAGCTAAGTATTATTAAGTCAGCAAGTGGGCTCAGAGACACAAGGCGTATGAAAAAGACTTTAATGGGCCCTACAACGGTCCAATTACAACTACTGCTTTCTACACACAGCACGACTGATTTATCATGATTCTATCCGTTTCCTAACATTTTTTTTTTTATAAACCCAAAATTTTGGCTGATAATATTTTCGGAGACAATCTTTGAATATCTTAATTTAATTTAAAGAATAACTTTTCATATCAAATATGGTAAACTCAAAACACAAATGAACCAACTCTCTTATGTTATCACTAAATCACTATACCTTTGGTCCTAACATTATTGATGACTTCATTTTGTGTTTTTACAATTAAGTTTTATCCAATAATATCAGTAATCTCGAGATAAGTGTTGACGATAATCATCATACGAGTCATGTTGTAAAACTG